CCCCCCGCCTTTATTTATTTTGAAGAGATCATGAGCTCTATTTTAGATAAATAATGATATTTTTAACCAAGTTCTAACATTTAGATTATTTTATATTTGGGGTATCCAGTGGTTTTACTTATTTGAAACATAAAATGTAGTCTGCAGAATGAACATACACTTGTAAGCCGTGTAGGATAGCACCATCTTTCTTACCAAATTATTAAAAATGCTACTTCTCTGAAGTGGATTTTTTTTTCCTTTTTTTAAAAAAAATCTTGGTATAACTCAGATGTCTTCCCCCCCCCCCCCCCAGTAAGTACAGGACACCTGAGAAAAAGATCTGGAAAAGGGGAAAAAATGTTTGTTTGTTTTTTTCCTTTTTTTTTTAAACTTTGAAGGGAAAGTTGCCTAGCGCGTGATAGAAGGGGAAGGACAGCTCGAGGAGGATGTTGCATTGCGGCTGTAAAGCTTGGGACTTGTCAGGACGTCAGGGCTTTCATTTCTGTTGCCTGCGTCAGAGACCAAATGGAGTCGTCCTTTTCCTCTATGTAATCGTAAAATAATGGCTTAAACACTAAGTGTGTTTTGCATTTCAGGTTATGGTTTTGTCGACTTTGACAGTCCTGCAGCAGCTCAGAAGGCTGTGTCTGCCCTGAAGGCAAGTGGGGTTCAAGCTCAAATGGCAAAGGTGAGTTGAGAGCCAGTACTCACTGCTCTGGTCTCTGGCTTTGGTTCTGAAGCTAGATACTTGGCTTTTCCTGTCACCATCCAAGTTCTTCCTTCCATCCCAGTGAGCCACAGTTACCTGTGGACACTTGTCCCATGCCTTCGCATCCTCAATGGTAGCTATTTTGCCAAAGACTGTTCCTCATAAGTTTATATGTGAAGGATTTTATAACTGTATAAAATTTTACATAGCAGATTATGTAACCCCCTAAGTAAATGGAGAAATAGCACCAGATTTTCTCAGGTGAGTGGGTACTTGTGGGCTGAAGCTCTGTACTGTATTTTTTAAAATAATTTTAAAATGTCAGTGCTTAAGGAATTAATACATTTTAGAAACACTTCCGAAGGTAATTGTGTATAGAATGTCATATTATGAAAGAATAACAAATACAATCACATATGTATGCATTGTACAAATTATACTAGTAGTTTTAAGGCAGTGTAAGCTACAGATACTATTTCCTCTGTGTAAAAGTCAGTGATCTTTAGACATTGGTTATTTATGGATTATAAATCTTCTCTTTAGTAGTTCTGCAGTGGCTTTATTCAGGACTTGTTTTGATGAACTCTTAATCACTGAAGTGGTATTTATGCTCCAGTCTTATTGCCTAAATGTAAACTTGGGTTATATCATACCTAGTGCCTAAAGTGCATTTATTAAGATACTCATACAATTATGTACATTTTTTTTTTATTTGTGGTTTTTGAATTGCTACAGAACATATTTTCACGTTTGAAACTTGACAGTTTGATATCTTGTATATTCTTTTCAAAAGATCGATAATTTTATATTATCTAGTGTCTTGAAGTACGGAGGAAAGTAATTTTGTGCTGTCCTCTGATGCTTCTGAAGGGTAGCATGTGGTCATTCCCTGAGGGGTATTCACATTTCCATAAGGAAAGAAGATTTATGGGAGTTAAAGAACCCTGGTTGAGATAAGTTACCTGCTAAGACCTTAAAGCTGTTGAAGGACATATATGCAGCTACCAGGATAGAGATTTACCTTGATTAAAAGATCAGCATGGGGCTTCCCTGGTGGCGCAGTGATTGAGAGTCCGCCTGCCGATGCAGGGGACATGGGTTCATGCCCCGGTCCGGGAAGATCCCACATGCCGCGGAGCGGCTGGGCCCGTGAGCCATGGCCGCTGAGCCTGCGCGTCCGGAGCCTGTGCTCCGCAACGGGAGAGGCCACAACAGGGAGATGCCCGCGTACCGGGAAAAAAAAAAAAAAATCAGCATGAATAAAGATTTCAGGAATTCACGAAAGGGATCACCTTTCTAAAGTAATCCTTGACTTTTAATATTTTTAGACCTTTGGATTGAGTTGGACTTATTTCAGATGTTTTTAAACTCCAGAGGAAGAAGCTAAAATAAACAAACTGTAAATACTAAGCACCATGATTTTTAGATTACTTGTCCGTAATATACAGCAGTTTCCTGTGGTATTGTTGAAAGACGGTGATTATGAGGCTTGAAATATATTTAATTGTGAGTATGCAATACCTATGTTGTATATGATTTACAGAATGTTTAATACGCCTATGTAAACAATGGGTAACCATACATTTTCTAAGCAGGACTTTTAAGGCACAATTGGAAAAGGGCTCTATTTTTCCCTCTGTTGTGTCCATTTCCTCTACTCTGTGAAGCTCCTGTTTCTTCCTCTCATGGATAAAATCTAGGGCAGGTCCCATGACTTTTCTGGCTACTCTCGTTATTTTGAAAAGTTCCTTCAGTTGCTTCTTTCATTTCAGGTCTTTCTGGTTAATTTTTTTCAGTAGAATGCCCCTTAATTGTTTTCGTATCCAAATTTCAGGGAACATAATTGTCTTTCAGTACATTTTCAGCCTTTCTATATGTATTTACACCAATCTCAGTACAATATTTTAAACAAGACGTTTAAGGGGGAAATCTCAGGTTATATTCCAAATACAGTTTGTAAAATGTCAGAATTGTGTAGAGGTTTCGAAAACTCTGCTGAGAGCCAGCAAAAAGGGATGTGTGTCTTGGATGCTGCTGGTGCTAAGAGAAATGACAGCTTACAAAGCAGTTGTCTGCTAACAACCATATGGATAATTTGGTGATCAAGAAGTGATATTTTAAAAGTTTACATCCCACTATAACCATGTATTATGTGTATACAGACACACGTACAGATGTGTAACAAATGTGTTTAGTTGCATTTTAGGAAATTGGGGGTTGTGATTAATGGTAATACATTATACTTCTTACTTGAAATAATATGAAATAGGCTCCTGGTTAACATTTTGATGCTGAATGTCTGATTTTTTTTTTTTAAGAACACATTTCCAATGCTAAGCGTGTGATACCTATAATTGAAATGTCCAATCCTGTTTATTTGACAAAATTTTGAGTGCCGTATAATATTAAAACTTCTCCCTTCCCCCAGCTCTGGTCTGCTCTAAGTAGTAAGCTTGTCCTGGGATGGGAGCATGGTTAGTTTCTTTCCTATTTCCCAAATTTGTGTCTTTCTCACTCTTCCATAGCTAGTTGTGGTTTCTAACCCCTCCAAGGTTGGAGCAGTGGCAAAAGATGGGAAAGTTTCTTGACCTGACAATTATGTGATCTGGTGTTGATTTCTCTGGGCAGACAGAGAACTGATGCTTTCCTTAGTAGGATGCTTTGCTCTCTCCCCTGTAGTTCCTTCAAACTAGAGAAGACGTGTCCTCAGGCTGTTAGCCTCAGCTCCTGAGAATCTAAGGGTCAACCTTCAGCCCCTTTCTTCTAGGACCTTCTTATCCTTCAAGACAGCCTTCCTGGAAGGCTCTAACACAACCCTGGGCCAACTCTACCTGTGTGGCCCCCATTGATCTGTTTGCCAGCTGTCTGTGGGAGACTGGTTACCTCCCAATTGCACTTATAGGCCCCTTCAACCAGCCTTTGCCTTTTAGATTCCTCAGGCGTAAGTCAGACATTGATTCATTGTATCCACCAAGCTCCAAAGGTCACAGACCATGTCTCCTGAGAGGTCTGTTGAAGCCCCTCTTGCTGGACTGGCAGTGATGGGGGAAGCAGCCCATGTGGTGGGACTCAGAACACATCAGCGGTTCTCTCCACATGCGTGTTCATTCCACCCTCTCCAGTCCCTCCCAGGCAGACGAGAGGTGGGTGGTCAGCTGAGCCTCTCAAGCCACATCTCAGCCACTCCTATGCAGACTTTGTGTAGGTGGTCTTGTTTCTCACTCTGGAACGTGGGCATGCCTGAAACCCATTTTTTGGTGACTTCTGCTGAAACAAAGTTAGAAAGAGGGCTATTTTAACAACCTGCTCCAGGTAATACAGAGGCCTTTTTTAGAGCGGCCCCATGAGCACTTACCTAGGCATCTTTTCAGTGCCGGTGATATTGAGTAGCATCATATATTAAATATATCCTGTTTGAAGAAGTCTTTACAATGCATTTAGTCAGAACCGGACTGGGCATAGATTGGCACTGTATGTTGTGTCAACAGTGCACTTTGAATGCCAGCTTTCCCGTGGACTGTTAATGAGCACTGTTCAAAGACCTCCTTAGGTGGCTTGGACTGTAAATTGGCTAGGAAAAGTGATCCCTTCCTACATCATCTGTAGGGAGGGAACAATGCACGGGTTCAGAGATGCTGGCAGTGTGCCAGCGTTGTGCACGGTGTGAATTTCTTTGGGTCTCTGTAGGATGACTGAGTTTCCTGGACCTGATTTCTTTTTTATTATATCATTAAAGTTACAAAAGGTATTTTAAATGCTAGAGGGTCCATCATTCTGTGCCACAGAACTGTGGGTTTGAGTATCAGGAGTTGACTTATCCCCTTTATGCTGTCTAGATAAAGGAGCATCTGGCATGTACCTTTTGTGGAGACAGTTTATAAAAGTTTAGGTCTGGCTCCCATGTTTGGGTGATAAGGGACCTGTCACTGTCCACTTTCCTCTAGTGAATTAATCTGGACACTACATAAAGTTTTGAAAATTCACATTGCCACATATTAAAGGCTTGCTTTCTTACATAATCAGAAGAAAATTAAGGGACATTCCAGTAGGTGAGTCTGGGGAGTGGGGAAGGATATAATATTGTTTGACACTTTGACTACCTGAGTTGAAAAAGAACTCCACAAATATTCAAAACTGAATTATAAAGCTACAAGTGGAGAGCGTTGGACAACAGTGGTTGTTTCTTATTCGTGTTTTAATTTCAGTGCCTTGCTTGGTACTTGGCCTATGCTAGATATCAAACGTTTGTTTTGTTGATGATCAAAGAAGCCAATTAAGCAAGAGAAAAACTTCCCAGTTTGGGCAGATATGGAGAGAGAAGAATGGGACATTTAAAAATTATATTTATTGAGTCTGTCGAGTACCCTGATGAAATTTACCAAAGGTTTTCCAAAAGGCTCAAGGTTAAACTTGAGCCATTTATGTTAAACTTGGCATTTGTTTCAAATGTGTGCATTTTTCAAAATAAAAGACTCAATCTATGAAAAGAAGAAAAAAACCTCAGATAACGAGCTGAAAAGATATAAAACTCAAGTCAACATTGGTGATATCTGTTAATAAAGTGACTTGTGTAGGCCTTTCCGCAATACCTCTTAAGACCTGCTGGGGGTCGGCGGATCGCCCTGTGTTATTTGCCTAGCGGTATGCTCGCACTTTTTTCAGTAAATAGACAGTCAAAGGAGCAGGAATTTAATCACCCTTCCACACAGAGGTCTACCATGCTTCAAGCAGTTTGCATTCACATGCCCATAAGCAGCTATCTGCTGGTTGGTGAACCTACTCAGTACAAGAGAAAACAGATGTCTGGTCTTCCTGCCAGGTCCCTTTCTTGAATTTTAGGAACCATTCCACACGCACAGGGAGGTTTTTGTTAATTTCTTTCAAATGATGACTGAGTGCTTTACACCATGAGGGACCTCCAAGCCCCACTTTTCTACTCAAGTGAACATTAGTAGCCATTTATCCCTCTCATGGCCAATGTGGGATCCAAGTGTTCTACTTGTTAAAGAAGCCATTGAACACTTTCCATGCCTAGGGATATAAAGAGGCCTGTTAGCCCCATTTTTATGTATGACCACCCATAATTTACAGAAAAATTGTTTTTTGACATAGCATTGTATGTAATAAAACAGAGTTACGGTTGTCCCTGATTTTAAAGGGGCAAAATTACCCTTATTCAAGAACCACTCTCACGTAGTACAAGTACTGTATGTTCCATTTACTAGGAATGTATGGTGATTAGAATGCATGGACCCTTTGGTGACTAGATATTCTTGTGGCCATTGCTGCCAGCTTGGAGTTGCTTCTCTTTTTTGTTTTTTGGTTTTTTTTACTTGCAACTTTGTATGCAATGTGTGCAGGATAAGTTGACCATTTGAAAAGAAGGATAAATAATGTTAGCCCTAGAGGTCATTCCAAATGAAGAGAGCTAGTTGACTGTTTGCTATGGAAAACAAATGCGTTAAAATCACAGGAAATATCTACCTGTATTTAGTCTATCTTATCTCACTATTCATCATAGAGTGCGTTAGGAGCTCAATTTCCTGATTCTGATTTAGCACTTTTTATTATTTTTTTCTTCATTGGTAAACATTCAAGTTGAATTAACATTTTAAAGAATAACTTTTTTTTTTTTTGCTGCATTGTGTCTTCATTTCTGCGTGCGGGCTTTCTCTAGTTGTGGCGAGCGGGGGCTACTCTTCGTTGCGGTGCGCGGGCTCCTCATTGCGGTGGCTTCTCTTGTTGTGGAGCACATCGTCTAGGCACAGGGGCTTCAGTAGTTGTGGCACGCGGGCTCTAGAGCGTAGGCTCAGTAGTTGTGGCACACGGGCTTAGTTGCTCCGCAGCACGTGGGATCTTCCCGGACCAGGGCTCGAACTCGTGTCCTCTGCGTTGGCAGGCAGGTTATTAACCACTGTGCCAGCAGGGAAGACCCAAGAATAACATTTTTATTAATAGTTTAATAGCAACTAAACCACAGATTTAGAAAGTACTTAGTTACCTACATTGTCAGCCCTTTTGAAAATACTTCACAGATGACAAAGTCTATGAACATTCTTAAATATTCTTAAATGTTAGTCATTTAGATTTTAATAATTGTAACTCAGAAGGAAAGCTCACGGGCTTCCCTGGTGGCGCAGTGGTTGAGAATCCGCCTGCCAATGCAGGGGACACGGGTTCGAGCCCTGGTCTGGGAAGATCCTACATGCTGTGGAGCAACTAAGCCCGTGTGCCACAACTACTGAGCCTGCGCTCTAGAGCCTGTGTGCCACAACTACTGAAGCCCATGAGCCTAGAGCCCGTGCTCCGCAACAGGAGAGGCCACCGTAATGAGAAGCCTGTGCACCACCACAAAGAGCCCCCACTCTCTGCAACTAGAGAAAGCCCATGTGCAGCAACGAAGACTCAACGCAGCCAAAAATAAAATAAATAAATTTATTTTAAAAAAAGGAAAGCTCACAATATTTATGATACATGTTTCTTATGTAACATTTTTTATGCCACATCTTTGTCCAAGGTGTGTTTTAATGCTCTTTAATTAGGGAGTTCCCAGCCTTATTCTGAATCTGACTAAGCATGATTCAGAAATCTTTCTAATAAGATAGACTTGATCACATCACTCCCTTGCTTCTGTGCCTCCAGAAGCTGCAGATTTTTTGGGGCGTGGCTTTCTAGCTGCAGCACAGGGACAAGGCTCCCCCTTCTTCCTCCTCCCCTCACGCAACAAAGTATAACGCCTGAAATCACAGGATAAACATGGCTTATCTTCCTGCAGTGTCAGTATGACTCGAAAGTATTAATTCAGAAATACTGTTTCCATATGAAACAAACTCAAATAGTTAGGGAGTAGATTGCAACATTTACATGATTTTTTTTTTTTTTTTTTTTTAGATAATGTGCAAGCCTTCAAGGAAATTTTGCAGCTCTGGCAAGGCTACTTTATCCTTTGCCCACACACTCTTCAGGATACATACATAGTCATTCTCTTTCATGCTAGCATTGCTTAAGTGGAAAAGTTTAAGCAGTGATAACTGACAAAAAAAGTCGTACTCCTTGGATAGCTTTTCACAATTTGGTTTTCAGCCTCATGCCTTATGCTTGTTTCTCAAGTCTCAACTCAATGTCATGCCCTCTGTAAAGTGTTCCCTAATAAAGACAAGCTCCCCTATCGGTCCTCCCATTGTGATTTGTATACATCTCTATTATAGCATTCATTACATGTGTTTTTATCTCCCCAACTCAACTATAAACGGCTAGAAGACAGGCCTGGAGTCACAATTATTGTATAAGAGGGTCTGGGATGTACAGGATGCACTATAAATGTCATTGGGCTGTATTAGGCTACAGGACCCCTCAGTGTACCCACCTTCAGAGAGAAATAACCCTATCTGTGTTCACCAACTAAGGACCAGACTTCCACAGGAACAAATACAGTCTTGTGCACTCCAGGAAAGCTTCAGGGACTTGGGAGGTTAGATCCAACATGAGATAGTTAATTGAGGAGCTGTGGATTAATTGGGTGAAGTTAGGGAAGGTAGTGAATAAAGTGGAAATAAGGAATTAAGATTTTAGCTTGTAGTCCACCTGAAAAGAAATTGAAAAATTTAATACCAAAGACCGTTTTGTTTTTCCCTTTATTTTGAAGCATTTTATCTATTACTGTCATGCATTTATTAAATCGCTTTACAATTTTTGTACATTAAAGATATGCTTTATGTAATTTTCAGTGGGAGGTTTTGCCTGGCATAAAGTAATCAGTGGTACCACACTGACTTTATCTACTTTCAGGCAGAAGCAAAGGTAGTTGCCATTTTTGTTTAGTCTGTCAAGGGTTAATGAAGTTAAGTTTCTGGCTTGCTACTAAGCACTTGAAAATTTTTAATTTTTTTCTTGGACACAACCGCACTGACACCCCTGAGAGTCTGGGCCGCCCAGGTTGGGAGCTTCTGCTCCATACCTTTGGGACTGGCCTGGTAACAGGCTGCCTTCTGTCAGAACCAGGAAGTCATAGGGACAGTACTTTCTGCCCGTAGTTTCTCAGTCTTTGGTAACTTTAATTCTTGGGACTACCAGTGTATTTGCCATTCCCTAGGATACCAGATTGTTGTTTTAAATCTTAAAGGTCAGTTACTTTTACTTGCAGATTATCTGAAAGGAAAGGTTTTATTTCAGGTTTAATTAATGCCAGGATACATTTGAAAGTAGAGACTTTGTACAAATATGCGTATGTTTCACATATATTTTTAAAGTACTGTGCATTTTGAAAATTTAAATATAATGAGTGTGCTGTTCTGTTGCCTGAGGCTAAGACATCAGTTAATGACTTTGCTAATAGTGCTTGTTAAAGAAAAATCATAAACTTGCATAGTTCAATATGTAAAGATACAATTGGTAGTAAGATCAAAGGCAAGCCTGTTTTAAAGTTAAGATCATCCTAATCTCAGAATTGCCGAGATGAGTTTTTACTTGGTCAGAAAATATTCCAGATAGCATATAAGCTTATTTCCTGATGATTTAACACCAGACTCAGTAAATATACATAGCAGTTACTGGTTCTCAGAAAATTCAGTTGCTATCTTTGGTTTCAGCTGATTTTACCTCAGCAGTGCAAAGGTGGGTGGGAAATGATCTAATTGCTGCTTCTCGAACTTGCCTATGCATTTGTACTGCCTGGAGATCTTATTAAAAATGCAGTTTCTGATGCTGTAGGTCTGGGATGGGGCCTGGAATTCTACATTTCTAGTAAGCTTGCAGGTAATTCCATCCCTGCTGGCCCCTGGATCACTCTTAGAGTAGCAAAGATTTAGCAAAACTCCCTTCCCCCATCTACACTTGAGTTCAGCTTCATCCAGATTCTAAAATTTGTTCTGCCTTGAGTCTGTCATTTTGTATGACTTTGTGGGGTTTTGTTTTTGTTAATGTAGGAAGTTCTCTATTTCCCATTGGTGATCACAACTCAGAGGTAGTAATGACTCTGCTGTAGAGCAAAAGAAGGGAATTTGGGCAAAATCCCACTGGACTTCAGTTGACTTAGTCCGGAATCCGTCGTGTGTTTCTGGATTGAATTATTAGCAGTAACAGCCATTTGTGCAATAGTGTGCCCAAAATGGGCTCCTAAAAATAGTACTGGAGGAGAGGTTAGTTATTTTGTAGAACACTGCAAACAGCTGAGAGTTGTGCTTCCATGAGGGCATCCTCTCCAACTCGGCGACTCCTGCCAGCACTTCTGCTTCCAAACCTGCCAAGAATGGTTTGGTGGGATCGTGTCTGACCTGCACAGATTGTCCAAGCTTCAGACACTGTTTTCAGGCGTTCATGGTGACTCGGGTGTTCTGTAGTTCCCATGATCTCACTTGCTAGTACTTTCAAAGGACCTGAGCTAAGAGAGTGGCCAAGGAAAAGTGTGTTCACATATCTCACCTTCTGCTGGAAATTAATAGACAGTTCTCTGTTCGGTTTCAGCAACAGGAACAAGATCCTACCAACTTGTATATTTCTAATTTACCACTGTCCATGGATGAGCAAGAACTTGAAAATATGCTGAAACCATTTGGACAAGTTATTTCTACAAGGATACTACGCGATTCCAGCGGGACAAGTCGTGGTGTTGGCTTTGCTAGGTAAGCACGCTGCCTGTCTTCTTGTCAACAACAGTAGCTCTGCTGTATTTCCTGGAAAATAAAAACTGAGCAAGGAGAGAGAATTTAGGAGCCAGTTGTACCATGAACTTAAGTTATGCATAAAAAATCATTTGCATTTTTCCAAATCTTTTGGAAGCTCATTAGGATTCTTGAACCTGAGGACACTAAATACTTGGTGCCTTAGGGCAAGGAAATACCACATGAGCAGTAGTTCTGCAAGTATGTTTCCTTAATAATTTGACTAATTAGATCAAGATGCCTAAACTTCTTAAAAACAATCTCAGGCTCCTAAATTTCGTAAATAAATTGGTATTTTTGTCTCATTAGATGGAACTTTGGTTCATCATGAATAAGGTCAGTGAATTAGATTTTTAAGTGAAATATTTCAAACACTCAGAAAAGTACAACAGACACCTGTCTAACCCCCCAAGTGTTACACAAATTGTAACATTTCACAGTTTTTGCCTAGATTTTTTTTTTTTAAGAAGTAAAATGTTGCAGATATCTAAACTACCCTCATTCCTTCCATCTTATTTTTATCCCTTCCTCCCCAGAAAGGATACTTCCCTGTAATGGTTAGTTTGCTTCCTTTAAAAACCTTAAACAAAAGAAGCTTTGGTTGTTGACGTAGTTGCAATCTGAAAGCCTGCGTTCAAAAACTGATTTTACATCATTTAGCAACCTATTAATACTGTGCAGTAACCGATAATGTCTACATGTCTTAAAGTATTGACTTTGGTTTTGGAGGGGAAATTGCTGACGTTTTCCTTTCCTATACATTATCCTATTTGATGACAATGGCATCTACCACAGGCCTGTGAGATCAAGAAAGCAAGCACTTTCCACTCTTTCACATATAGGAAAATTGAGTTAAAGAAAGGACTTTACCATTGTCACAGGGCTGCCAAGCAATGAAGCAAGGTCTAGTACTTGGTTCTTCTGGCTTTCAGTCCATTACTCTTTCTGTTAGGCCAGATGATTTTATAATAAAACTAAGATATTCTACAGGTGGAAAGTCACCAAGGCCAGCATCCCCAGCGTGCACTTCATGGGTTAAAAGGACCCAGGTGAAACAGTGAAAGGCCCAGCGCCTTCTGAAAATCGTCCCTCTGTGGGTGTTCTTCTGAAAGTAGATCAAGGACTTTCATTTCTGTATCCAAAGATAGAACCCAATTAAATTCTATTGCTTTTAAAAACGATTAAAAACCACCCATTAAAACCAAGGTGCAACTCTTCTAGGCAGTCCGGGAGTGTAGTGCATTTTGAGCAGATTATTCAGTGTTTTTTCCATTAAAGAAAAATAAATCAAAATGATTTAATTCCCCTGAAAGGTTTCTCAGGTGTTCTTAGCCACCTGCAGATGTGGAATAAGTTGTTAGGCTCCATCCTTTAATTCCTCCTCTGAAGCCAAGATGACAAAGAAGGTACATAATTGACTTCACTAATTTAATTTTAAACTTCAAGCTAATGAGAAAAACCTGTAAGACACATCCTCTGATTAACACCAGTTCTTATCATGACTTTTGAGTCTGTCATTTTTTTGAATACGTAAAAGGAAAGACCATCTTTAAAATGACCAATATCCCAGCAGCACTAAATACACTAGTATTTTAAACTGGTATTTTTATTTTTAATTCACTATCGTGACTAACAAAGCTATTGTGTATTGATTATCAGTTTTTCTACAAGTGGGAAAAAATTATACATTTCCTATGCTTGATATTAAATACTCTGTATAATTTATTTCTTTTGTGATTCTGAATGTACTGTGTGGTTATCAAGTTTTTATTTTACTATGGAAGCACACAACAGTTAAATAAAAGATAGAATAAACCCACTTTTTCCTATCATTCACATTTTTGTTAGTTTTCATTTGTATCCAATAAACCTGTAGGATTGTATTCATGTGTACAGAACAAAATGAAAACTAAGACATCTCTGATTATTTACGTGTTTTATTTTTATGTATAAATAGGATGGAATCAACAGAAAAGTGCGAAGCCGTTATTGGTCATTTTAATGGAAAATTCATTAAGACACCACCCGGAGTTTCTGGTATGTTGTTTGTCTAAAATTGTATCAGTAGTCTTTTGTTTTAGGATGTGGTGCCTCTTATATCAAGAACAAAAAACTCCTCATTTAGCTCTTTAAAATTTATTTCTTTGGATCTACAAATAAGACTGCAAAATTCACTTCTCCCAACTGTTTAAATATGAATGGAAGCATAGAGAAACAAACTTATGGTTACAGGGTGGGAGGGGGCATAAATTGGGAGACTGGGACTGACATATACACACTACTATATATAAAATAGATAACTAGTAAGGACATACTCTATAGCACAGGGAACTCTTCTCAGTACCCTGTAATGACCTATATGGGAAGAGAATCTAAAAAAGAGTGGATATATGTATATGTATAACTAATACAATTTTCTGTACAGCACTCACTAACACAGCATTATAAAGCAACTGTACTCCAACAAAAAATTCTTTTAAAATTCAAAAAAAAAAATGAAACGTAAGCTTAGGGGGGGAAAAAAAAAAAAAATATATATATATATATATATAAATGGAAGCAGACCCAATGGTAAGGAGGTGTGTGACTTGCAGAGCATTCAGAAGCCACTCCTCCTTGGATGAGGAAGCCATCCCCTAACTCAGCTCATCACCATCCTCAATAAATATCCTGTCAGTCCTATCTGTTGAGGACTCTGGTACTTTCCACCCCAGCTCCCGCCTTCGTTCTGGAAGATGTCAGCATGTGTTACCCCTCCCCCTTACAGTGCCTGGACTCAACTTCTGTGGCCCCTCCATCCACTCCTCTGTGGCCACTTCCTCCCATTGCTCTGCCCCGTGTTGTCTTGACCAAGAAAACACCGCACCTCAGGAGCTTTTCATTCCAACATTACAGCCCCTCTAACTCCCACTAAACCTGGTCTGAAATACAGTGGGCTCCAGCTTGATCAGACCCTCAGCATCACTGGTCCTCACTCAGCCTCTCACCCTTACCTAAATAGCAATTCTCAGTTTTCACCAGCCTGCTCAGCCCTCTCCCTAAACTGCTCCCACACCCCAATCCTAAGGAGATGACTTCACTTCCCTTTAATCAGGCTGTCCTGTCTTGCCCTTTCAGCAGCTTCCTCTGCTGCCATTGGGTTACTGTCTGCATAGCGCCCTGAGGACACCCACCTGTACGGCAGCATTTAACATGTTTACACGTGTCAGTGCACTAAACTAAGCTCTTCGAAGGCAGAGGCTGTTTTCTTATCTTTCTGTTTTCATGCCTAGCTCAGTACTTGAACCATACTGTTCAAGCACCAGAAACTGTTTGTTGGTTTTGCATAAATTTCACTTCACTATTCACCAAGACAACACTACCTATTTGCAAGCTAGCGTGCAAGCGGCTGACCACAAGCTAGAAGACGTTTCCATTTGTGCATGTGTAACTAGTGTTCAGTATTTATTCTTCTGTAGCTCCAAGGTTCCATCTTTAACTGGATGGCTGATGATTATGATTAGGGATCCACTTTACTTTTCTGTATCCAGGTGAGTCTCACTTCATAGAGAATCTATTTATAAGTGTGTGCAATACCACGGACTAACTGCATCCTTTAATACCAAAATCTGACAGCATACAGTTTGCATGGCTGTATGTGAGCTTGAGCTAAAGCATAAAATACAAGGCCTAGAAGTACGCTCTTGCAAGGAACTCAGCCTTGTGAAAGAGCTTCCTTTTCTGTTTTTTAAGTCAGTTTTGTTGTTCCATCCACAACACTTGAGTTGAAAGAAAAAAAAAGAAACGAGAGGGGAATATTTCTACCTTCCAACCAAGTAAAGACAAGGGAGAAATTTCATACGTGGGAGGCTTCTGTCAGCCTTGCCCCGCGGGGCCTTCCAAGGCCCCTGCACACAGCTGCCCCCCGTGTTTTCCTCGCTTTCCATGCCATCCTCAGCATGGGCAGAACCCCAGAGTATTATATTAGTCCCTTCGAAGCGCTGCTCACCCAACCCACCTGTGACCTCGTTACTTTCTCAGCTCATTCTTGCATGCAACAAGGAGATTTCCAGAAGGAAAAGCACCCCGGCACACATTTGTTTTGATGTTGTATCAAAGATAAGATCTACCAGCTCCCTGAGTGAAATAGATCTCAGGGTGTCACGAATTGAGGTTGGACAGTTTCCTTTTTTCTCCAAAGGACTTCATGATTGTGTCATTTAACTGTTTTCTTTGAAGTAGGTTTGAAGACTCTTGGTCACACCCGTTCTAGGAAGAAAAAGACCTTGTTTTCCAAACCACACGCAAATAATTGTAGGATTCTCTGCACCTTTGCAATGGATAGTTTCTTCCGAGTAGTGCTAAGGGTCAAAGCGAGCGTTAAGAACCAGATGGGTTCCTTCTCCATGGAGAGCATCCGGGCAGGGAAGACAACCAGGACTTAACTTTATGCCATTTTCTGATGTTTGATGATCTCTCACATGTTTTAGTCTTGGTTCCCAACTAGACTGCATGTACTTAGCGGCAAGGGCTGTGTTTTATATTTTAATTTTGTGGTAGGCACCAAAAACCTGTGCATCACCCTATACCAGCAGAGGTCACCAAGCGGTTCCCAAGAGCATTTTTCACATCTTCTTTCACAAGAATCGTGGCTATTTTGCTGGCCTTTTTATATAGCTTTTGCCTTTAAGTGAGGTTGAGCTACTTTTTGGCAGGAGTTTGAAACGTACAGTGCGGGATTGGGAAGCATGCTATTCCAGTGAACCCAGCCTTTCCCCAAAACAAGTCTCCAGTGGACTTGAGAACCCACAACAGAATTTGAAACCATTTTCAACTTCTCTGGATTGTTTTTTGTACACACAATACAAGAATTATCTTTGACTACCTGTCTGTTTATTAGATGCTGCTGTCTCCCTTCCAATTACCTGAATGGCTGCTGTGACATGGGTTTCCCCGTGGAATGCATATGATTATTGTCAGTAGAACCAGATGAAAAACAAAAATATTGTCAGGCAAGGGCAAATTGAATGGCCCTCCACTTCAATGTTTAAATAATGTAGGCTCATTGCTAGGCAGACATAACATTTCATAAATACAGTCAGAGGATGGTTTATTTAATGATGTAAGTTGTTTAGCTGGCATAAGCAGAATTATCCAGGATGGTTTGTGTCAGAGTACTCCGATTCTTGCACGACTAGCGATTTGCCTGTGACGCTGGAGCCAAGTATAGGAAAGAAACCTACATTAGACACAGTCCCCAAAAGACACTTTCTTTTGAGGACTGAAAAGAAAACGCATTGCGTGAACAGTGCAATGAACAGTAAACTGAACGTAAACTCATCGCATGACACTCTTAAGAAAGTCTCTAGATGGCAAAGCAGAGAGGTCAGCTGTGCACATGAGTTGTCACATCTCAGATGCCACCCATCCATCTGCCAACACACTCTTTTCATACCAGGGTGATGTGGCTGGGTTCCCCCATGCCTGGCATACCCCACCCTGGCCTGGGGCCTGGTACATAATGTAGTATATGTTTAGAGTTCCGTAAAGATCCACTATACCACATCACAATTTTTTATACAATCTGCTTTCTGAAATCACTTTTTAAAAATCTTGTGCTTTTGTGTCTGATGTTACCACATTTTCAAAAAGGCTTTATCTTATGGCACATTCTTCAAGTGTACATTATAGTTTGTGTTAAAAAAAAAAAGTTGCTCAGAAGGCCGTTCCTTCTGTCCTTCCTCCCACTCAGTCTCTCATTTTTCCCTGAAAATGTTGAAATATTGTCCTTTGTTTGGATTTACCTTGATTTCGAGTGCTAGCTGGCTTGCAGTAAGTCAGATTTGCTTGGAAGGACCCCAACAAGGGTAAAAGAAGCAATGACTTCTTTGTGAGACAATCTAGGTGAATTCCACAGAGGTTTAAAAATAAGTACGTCCCATTTGCTTGATAAAAATTCCATTATGGAGAAATAGGATGGTGGTGGTTTCCCTCACAGTGAACATTAGAAACAAGAGATGGGTAGAACTGATGTCCAAATTAGGAGACGTGCCCAAGGCAAAAACACTGTCACTCATGGCCATGATTCAGGGATTTGTCTGAAAAATATTCTTCCAGTACCTTCCTGGAAGAGAGTACAGTCTCCAAGAAGACTAATGCACATGGCATGTTAGCTGGAACTCATGTTAGCTGCCTGCCCCGCACCCGTTGTTTCTGCCTCTGTGGGAGATGCGCACAACACACACACCCCTTGGATAAAGGCCACGTGTATATTCAGTGCTGCAGGAAGCAGTATGCTCACATCTCTCTTTCTGGGCCTCTCCATGACGTGAATGGAGTCTGCCTTTGTGTGCTAAGGGCAGAGAGTTTTTAAAGAAAAGAAAGAAGTGTCTTTTCACTGGATATGTGAGCGCCTTTGAGATGCCCAGTGTGGCGCGGGCATCATTCTGCCACATCGCCCAAAGCTTTGCCTGTGTCGTGGAGGAGCTCCGTCGTGTTGTGAAGTGCATATGTGACTGCCGGCCTACACCATCCAAAGACCTCAGCTTGTTTTACATCTACTTTCTGTGTTACTTTGACTTTTCAGATTTGGGTACATGCCCAGCAGGGCTTGAAAACCACTCTTACATTCTGGAACATTCTGTGTATAGGTAAAATTATTAGGGCCTTGTCCTATGCCAGGAGGCAGAAAAGGTAATGTTTAGGGGAAAAGTTACAAACCTAGTAAAAAGCCTGGAAATCTTTCAAGGGTTTTTATTGCCCGTTTCATTTCCCGAATGTTTGGCTTAAGCATTATTAACTCTGTTAAAAACAGAAACATTTGGCAACTCTAGGACAAAAGAAATACATGTGGAATGTTCCTGACCTTTAAGACAATGTGATCATACCTCTGGGATCGTGATGTGTTCATGTCTCTCTCACCCAGTATGTACAGTAGAGCAGAGTCGGAATGCATGTATTGTTGAGATGTTCCAGCCAAGGGCTGGAATCTTATGAGTAAATCATTGCCATGAAAGCAAAAGTTCTGGAACCATCCTGGGAGGCCAGTGGGGTGAGGG